GGCCAGCTCACCAAAGCCAGTCTCCCCAGTTGGGACATGACCTTGGCATCCCCAGGCACGTAGAGGCATGTGCAGCTGCACACCCACCCACCCTCGCCCCCCCCCCCCCCCCCGCCCCCAACTCCTTGCAGCGTGCGGTTGGAAAGGGGAGGGTGCTGGGAATGTGCGTCCCACACCGTCTCTCCGCCACACCACAGACGGAAAATCCGAGTCCAGGAGTTTCCATGCTGCACTTTGTCATGTCCTGGGGCGGGGTGGGGTAGGGTGGCGTGGGCTGAGTTATTTTGAGTGTGCGTATGGGGCAGTGCCTCTGCCGGCTGCCCAGAGCGGGGAAAGTTGTCTGGGGTGCAGAGGAGCTGGCCCTCAGACATCCCGCCCCCCAACCGTAATGGCCAAAGAGCCTGAGATCCGCTGTTCACTGTCCCCCGACTTCCACCTAACCCTAACCCTAACCCTTGGCTCCCTCCTGGAACCCCCTGCACCCCGCAAGTGCTGGTGTCCGGTCATCCTCCTAGGAAGCAGGGTCAATGGGGCGCTGCGTGGAAGCCCCAGTTGCCTGACCTTGGGTCAGGAGCTGCCTGTCTCTGGATCTGACTCCCTTCATCTCTGAAAAGGGCCGAGAAACATCCTCTGTTTTAGGACTGTTGGAGGAGCTGGGGTGGTGAATGTGTTTTCGAGGTCAAGCGAGCAGACCCTGGGGCCAGGCCCCCTGGGTTCAAGTCCCAGCTCTGCTTCTTCCCATTGCGTGACCTAGAAAGAGGGATAGAACCTCACGTGTCATGTTTCCTGCCAGGTCAAGGCAGGGCTCTCTCCAAGGCTTCTCAGAAGGTTTCAGCCCAAAGGATCTAGTAATGGCCCATTGGGCCTCCGTTTCCCTGACTTGGATGCTCGTGACTGTTGGGCGCCTCCCAGCTCAGGGTTCCCTAGGACCTAGTTGAGGTGCGGGGCATAGACTCTTTTCAGCTCCTGCCCCCTCTGTTTGCTCTTGTTGTTAGGGTTGGGACAGTGAGTGTGCTACATGGGAGCGGGGCCCGGTGCCAACAGCCTCCAGGGTGGGTGTTGAGGAACTTGACCTTCTGAAATGCCACGCATCACAGGAATGCCAGGATTTTAAGCATTAGGCGTGAAGAAAAACCCCTGCAATGAAGTCAGGACACTCCATCAGTTTTGGGGCACTTCCTGACTCAGAGGTAGTCAGATGTACCCAGCATCTGGGTACGAGGAAACCCGGGGACACGTCCTGCCGGGTCTGCACTCTCACGCGCTCCACCGTGCGTGCGTGGGTGCCTTCCTTCCTTCTGGCCACCTGCCCCTTCCCCGACCCAGCCGCCCCAACCTGCGGGTGACGCCCTGGGGGGGGCTCTGGACCGCTGTCCCTCAGCCTCAGTCTCCCGCCTGCGGTGGGGAAGTGCCGGGCACAGACGACCCCTCCCGCCTCCAGACCCGGCTGGGGTCTCCCGCCCTCCCACGCAGGCACTCTCCACCCCGCCCCTCCCGGCTCGCCGCAGCGGGGCGGGGCGGGACGGGGGCAGAGTCCGCCCCCTCCCCTCGGGCTGCTCCGCCCTCGCCCCGCCGTTCCCCTGCCTTCCCCTCCACGCCCCGCCCCGCCCTGGCAGGGCCTGGCTCCGCGGCCATGTGACCCCGCGGCCTGGCCGGGCGCGACGGGACGCGCTGGGACCGGCGTCGGGGGTCGCGGGCGCGGCCCGGGGTGGGGGCGGGGGCGGCATGGAGCGGAGGTGGGTCTTCGTACTGCTCGACGTGCTGTGCGTGCTGGTCGGTAAGAGTCGCGCGACCCGTGTGGTGGGGGAGGACCCCGCCCCCCCGGCGGTACACGCCCCGGGCCCCCGAAGGTTGGTTTGTGGGGGCGGATCAGGGAGGCCCCTCGGGGCGCGGGACCTCGCGGACTGCCTCCGCGGCCCGGTGCCAGCGGGCGCCCTTCCCGGCCTCGGTTTCTCCCGGCCGTCCCGGGTTACCCCGCCCGCTGCAGCAGGAAGTCGCAGCCGAGGGGCTGCACGCGCCTCCCTCCCCGCCGCACCCGGCCGGGGCGGTGATTCAGGAGGGCGGCGGTCCGGGTTTGGGGCGCGGCCGCGGGTCACCCGGGCGGACCTCCACCCCCTGTCCCAGGATCGACGTCCCCAGCGGGCACACAGCTGGTCGGTGGGAGTCGGACCCCCTGCTCGGGCGGGGGAGAGATGGAGAGAAAGGCTGGGCCCCGGGCTACCCGTGAACCCGGCGCCTCCGGCGGCGCGGACCAAACCTGTCGGGCGGGTTTGCGGGCCAGGCTGGGGGAGGGGGCGGCCGGAGGCCCCCTCCCCGCCCTTCCCCCAGGGTCCCGGGAACAAAGGCCGAGTGTTTGCTCTGGGGCAGTGCGGACAATGGCCCCAGAATTCTGCCCTCGGCGCGGGGAGGGGCCCCTCGGGCCTAAATCGCCCCCCCAGGACCGCTCCCTCCCCGCCCCCATTTGGGGTTCCTGCTCCTCCGCCGGGGTCGGAGGGGTAATCCCTGACGGATTGGAAAGGCAAGGCTCTCCTCCTGAGCCCCAGACCCTAACCCTGACCTCTTTGGAGTGGGCCGGTTGGCAGCAGGAAGAAGTCCCCAGGGGGCGTCTGCCAGCCCTAGCCGTCATTTATTGAATACCTGTTATTTATATTTAAACATCTGTGTGGCACCTCCTGTATTCTAGACAAGAAGTGACATGCACATAATGAAGCCATTTCCACCAAACAGTCCGTCGGGCAGGTTCTCTTTGCCCAGAGAGGTTCAGGCACCTGCTGGAGGTCACACAGCAGCTACCCGTGGTGCTGAGATTAGGTTGTGTGTTGGTTGCTTCTTTGTGCCAGGAGCTAGAGGCCCAGGCAGACCCGGCTCCCATTCTTGAAGCTTCAGCCCATAAAAAGCTGAGTTTCATAGGGTGACAAGGGGGCCCTGATGAAAATACGGGCTGTGTGTGTGTGTGTGTGTTGGAGGGGGTGGTGATGTAAAGGCAGGGATGTTCTGCAGGTGTCTGCCATGAGGGCATGAGCCAGTGTCCTAGGCAGAGAGAGGCCCCAAATCCAGTGCTCGGAGCTCTACTTCCCAAACCCACAGCTCTGGTTCCAGTTGAGGGTGACTGAGTCTGCACTGGAAGGGGCTGGGGCTGGGCGACAGGAATTGGGAGACTGACCTCGCTGCCCAGGCACCTTGTGCCAGCCTCTTTGCCCTGCTCCGGGGGCAGGGATGAGGCTTGACTTGATGTCTCAGCATATTCTGGCCCTGGCCTCCCCCCACCCCCAACTTTGGGGGGCTCCTCCCTGGCTTCTCTGCCTCCACCCTTGCCCTCACTGATATAGAAAACATGCTCTGTTCCTTTGTTCCCAACTGTCTGATGTCTCCCCGCTCACTCCCAGCAAGATTCCCATTCTTTTTTTTTTTTTTTTTAAGATTTTTTAGAGAGAGAGAGACCGCGGGAATGGGAACACAAGCGGGGGGAAGTGGGAGAGGGAGAAGCAGGCTCCCTGCTGAGCAGAGAGCCCGATCCCAGGGTCCTGGGCATCGTGACCTGAGACGAAGGCAGACACTTAACGGTGTTCACCCCAGGCGCCCCAAGATTCCCATTCATGTAATACCCTCCACCTCCAGCCCCCAGCTCTCCAGCTCTGCAGGCATGGACCCACCTCTGGACCTCTGCACTGGCTGTTACCTCTCCCTGGTGCTCTTCTCCAGATCTGCCCTGACCTTCCTCAGCTCCCTCAAGCCACCTTTTCTGTGTGGCCTACCTGACAAGCCCATAGCCTCCCTGATTCCAGTTGCTGTCCCTAAGCCTCACAGCTCCATGGGCAGACCTCTGTGTTTCCTGACTCAGCACTAAGTTTGGTCTCTTGGGAGGAGGAGGAGTTGGCCTTGTCCCTGACTCCTGTGGTATTCAGGCCACAGAAGAGTCACACCCTTTTATACTTGTCACCTGCTGTGCTGGGGGCAAAGGACGCCCTGCCTGTATTTGTCACCCTCAGCTCAGCAGGGCCCTGGGACCCCAGAGCCACAGCTGCTGAAACTTGTGGCTCCTGAACATGTCTTTAGACTGAGCTGTGGAGGCCCTTGGTCTGCCCAGGGGTCTGCCCGGGGTCTGTAGGCATCTCAGCTCTGCCCCTTACTATGGTGTGTCCCTGGTCTCTCTGGCTGGCTGTAGAGTGAAGGGCAGGGAGTTCTCTCTTTTAAACGATGCTTATTAAACATGGGCGCAGGCCGAGCCCTGGGAAGGCTCCAGGGACAGCCTTGAGCATGGCAGACCCACCTCATGTGCTTGGTGAACTCAGGTATCACACGGTGCATAAATACAAGCGTGCCAAGAGACATGGAGAACAGACATTTCATCTATGAAAGGGGTGCCAAGGTGTCAGGAAGGTGGCTGGATGGAGCTGTTTGGAGGGAAGTCAGTCAGAGATGTTTTGGGCAGTGAGGACGGGTGCCAGGTTCCTGGTTGGGTGCCTGTGGAGTTTGCTCAGGGAGGAGACAGGAGGCTGGAGGGAAGTGAGGAAGAGGAGGGGCTGGGAGATGTGGGGTGGGGGCTGTACAATGGGCCTGGGGAGGATTTTGGTGTTTTATCTGTGGATGATGGGGAATCACGAGGGGGTTTTAATGGGGCAGTAGCCTCCCATTTGCCAGGCTGGTGTGGAGGTGAGAAACCAGGGGACCAAGGCAGGTGGCCCTGGGGCTTTGCTGGTGGGAGCGTGCAGCTGGGGGAGAACCATGTGGCCACTGGCTTCTCTCCCCTGCCCCCAGCCTCTCTGCCTTTTGCCATCCTGACGCTTGTGAACGCCCCATATAAGCGAGGGTTCTACTGTGGAGATGACTCCATCCGATACCCCTACCGTCCAGACACCATCACACATGGGCTCATGGCTGGGGTCACCATCACGGCCACCATCATCCTTGTAAGGCAGAAGAGGCTTGGAGGGTGGGGGCTGGGGTGTGGGATGGTCTTTGGGGAAGAGGACCCCCTTTGGAGTTCCCAGAACTCCAGCTGACTCAGGGAGGCTGGGAGCCCTTACCCCCCTTCCGTGGGGAGGGCCAAGGCCCAGGGAGCCGGGGCTGGTGGAGATGCTCACAGCTGGTGCCCCAGCCCTGCCGCAAGGCCCCACGGCTGCTCCCTGTGCAGGTCTCAGCTGGGGAGGCCTACCTGGTGTACACAGACCGCCTCTATTCCCGCTCCGACTTCAACAACTACGTGGCCGCCGTCTACAAGGTGCTGGGCACCTTCCTGTTTGGGGCTGCAGTGAGTCAGTCGCTGACAGACCTGGCCAAGTACATGATCGGCCGCCTGCGGCCCAACTTCCTGGCGGTGTGTGACCCTGATTGGAGTCGTGTCAACTGCTCCATCTACGTGCAGGTGGAGAGGGTGTGCAGGGGAAACCCCGCCAACGTCACCGAGTCCAGGTGGGTGCCGGGATAGCAGCCTTCACTCTGGGCCATGCTGGGGGCCCCCAGCGGCAGATATTCCCAGCCCTGGGGGAGGAGTGGGCCCTGCAGGAGGACCCTTAGGAGCTGAATGTGGAAGAATGAGAAGGTTAAGGAGGCAACTCCCTGAGCAGAGGATTGTGGGGGTGAGGCCAGGTGGGGCCCGTGGGCCTGGGTGGTGTGGGGGGCATGAGGTGGGGCGGGATGTCAGACCCCACTGGCCTGCTTCTCTGCTTTGTACTCTCACAGTCTCTGATCAGCTTTTCCATTAATTGCCATTACTGTTTCCCTTTTTATTATTTTATTTTATTTTTTTAATAAGTGTTGTGATACGTCAGGTTTTTTTTTTAAGATTTTATTTATTCATTTGAGAGAGAGAGCACGAGTGGTGGGGGTGGGGGCAGAGGGTGAAGCAGACTTCCCACTGAGCAGGGAGCCTGATGCAGGGCTCAATCCCAGGATCCTGGGATCATGACCTGAGCAGAAATCAGGGGTCAGATGCTTAACCAGATGAGCCACCCAAGCATCCCCTTATTTTCCTTTTTAAAAGATTGAAATAAAATTCACATAGCTAAGGGTGCCTGGGTGACTCCGTTGGTGAAGTGTCTGCCTTCAGTTCAGGTCATGATCTCAGGGTCCTGGGATCGAGTCCCGCGTCGGATCGGGCTCCCTGCTCAGCGGGGAGCCTGCTCCTCTCCCTCTGCTGCTCCCCTCCCCCCGCTTGCGCTCGCTCGCTCTCCAATCAATCAATCAATCAATCAATCAAATCTTTAAAAAAATTCACGTAGCTAAAATTCACTAATTTATTTTAATGGGTACAATTCATTGATTTTTTTTTAGTACTTCACAGTGTTGTGCACCCATCTCCACTATCTTAGTCCAGAATATTTTCATCACCCCAAAAAGAAGCTCCGTGTCCGTTAGTTATCAGCACCCTCTCCGTCCGCGCATCCCCATCCAGTCCTCAGGCCCTGGCACCCACCAGCCCCCTCCCGTTGTGGTCATGCCTTTCCTGACGATTCACAAATGCGGAGTCCCACACCATGTGGCCTCTCATGTCTGGCTTCCTTAATGTTTCAAAGCTTACCCGTGTCTTAGCGTCTATGTGTGTTTGCTGCACCTGTTTTTTGGGGCTCTTGTTCAGTGGGTGTATCTCTGTGATTGTTTTGTTTTCCTGATGGATGTGCCGGTTCTCACTGTGAGCCCTTTGTCTCTCCTAGTGGTTTTGTTTTCAGTGTCTGTTTTGTCTCCCAGCAGTGTAGCCACGCTGGCTTTCTTGTGGTTGCTGTTTGCATGGAATATTTTTCCCATTTGTGTATTTTTCAACCTATTTGTGTGTTTGAACCTAAAGTGAGTCTCTAGTACACAGCCTAAAGTTAGGTTATTTTGTAAATCTATTTTGTAATCTCTGCCTTTTAATTGGAGAGGTTAATACATTTACATTCATTGTAACTACTGATCAGGAAGGGCTTCTGCTGTCTTGTTATTTGCTTTCTACATAGTCTGTTTTTATGTTGACTTTTACATTTTCTTCATTACTGCCTTCTTTTATGTTAAATAGTTGACTATGTAAGGAGTTTGTGGCCATATGGCGCTACCCCCTTATGAGATTATTTTCACAAATTATATTTTTATACATCGTGTGTTCATCAACTTAGATTTATAATTACTATTTTATGCAGCTTTTTAATAATTTTTTTTTATTGATATGTTAACCACCGTACATTACATCATTAGTTTTTGATGCAGTGTTCCATGATTCATTGTTTGTCTATTTTATGCAGTTTTTAAAACATTGCGGTATAATTGGCATATACCACCATATTAGTTTTAGGTACACAACATAACAACATTTGTATTTATCTTGAAATGGTCACCGCAGTAAATCTAGCTAACAACCGTCCCTGTATATGCAGTTAAAAAAAATTATTAGAAAAACCAGGAATCATTAGCCACAAGTATATTAATACTGATGTTTGTATTGTGTAATTACCTTTGCTGGTGCTTCTCAGGTCTTTGTGTGAGTTTGACTTACTGTCTAGTACCCTTCGTTTCTCCTGAAAAGACTCCCTTGTGGTATTTCTTATAGGGCAGGTATTGGAACAATGAATTACCAGTTTTTGTTTATCTGGGAACGTCTTAATTTCTCCTTCATTTTTAGGGGATAACTTTGCTAGATATAGAATTCTTGGTTCCTTTGAATGGGCCATCCCGCTGCCTCTTGGCTTCCAGGGCTTCTGATGAGAAACCAGCTGCAAACCGAATTGTACTGAGGGCCCTTGTTCAGGAGGAGTTTCTTCTCTTGCTACTTGCACGATTCTCACTGAGTGTCCTTTGGCAGGTTGATTACACTGTGTCTCTCTAAGTTTCTCCTTTGAGAGTTCATCAAGCTTCTTGGGTGTGTTGATTAATGTTTTTGATCCAGTTAGGGAAGTGTTCAGCCATTATTTCTTCAAAGACGCTGCCCCTGTGTACCTCTCCCCTCTTTGGGTTCCCACTGTGTGGGTGGAGTCCCTGGTGCCCACTTCTGTTTTTCCCTTTTTTTTTTTACTCTCCGTTTGTCCGACTGAATTGTCTGCGTCCACTTGTGTCCATGGTTACTCTTCTGCCCATTCAGATCTGCTAGTGATCTTTTCATTTTGGATACTGCTGTTTTCAGCTCCAGAATTTCTGTTTGGTTCCTTTAGATAACCTCTGTCTCTTGGTTAGTATTCTCTATTTAGTGAGACATTGTGTAGCTCTTTGAACAGATTTTAAATGGCGGTTGAAACGTCTTTGTCCAGTAAGTCTAGCGCCTGGGCTTCCTCAGGGACAGCTTCTATTAATAGATGTTTTCCCCCTGTGTGTTGGACACACTTTTTTTCCCTGCATGCCTTGTACTTATTTGGTTGAAAACTGGGCATTTTTTATATTGTAATGTAGCAACTCTGGAAATCGGATTGTAGTCCCCTTCCCAGGGATTGTTGTTGGTGTTTGTTACAGTTGTTGGTTGGTCGGTTAGCGACCTTTCTGAACTAATTTTGCAAATTCTGTATTCTTTGTCATGTGTGGCCATGAAGTTCTTTCTCTTAGCTGGGTGATCAGCTAGTGATTTGATAGAGATTTCCTTAGACACCTGGCCCCCCTGGAGAAATATATCTCTCAGAGTTTACAGATGGGCTCTGTGTGCTGTGCTGGGCCTGCCTTCAGTGTGCAGCCAGGCTTCCTGTTTGTTGTGCAGTACCTGAAGGTCAGCCAGAGGTGAGAGCAAAGGGCTTCTTTCCGGAGCTTCCTGGTGGGTCTTTGTGCTTCAGCTGCTGTGCATCACCCTGGAGAGCAGTGACAAACATTTGTTGTAAATGTTTTCAGAGTAATGCCCCAGGTAGCTGCCTCAGCACCGGGAGAGTGGGGTACAGCCCCTCAGATCCACCAGATGGGGTCCAAACAGACAATCACAATTCTGTGCAGAGAGGTCTGTTCTGCTCTTGGTACATGTGGCCACTGTCAGTGCAATTCTGTTTGTACAGATGTTTATCATTTCTCTTACAGACGGCTGGACCTTTGGAGTTTCTTTATTGGCTGCTTTCTCTTATCCACTGATGTCCTTTTTGCTAAAACTTGAATTTAATTCTTGTGTCAAGTACCCAGATGGAAAATAATCCTGAAACTGTGGTGTTAACTGTTTGCCAGACACAGTTGTCTGCCCTGGTTCCAAGTCTGTGGCCTACAATGTCCTTGTTAAAGACCGTGAGCCCCAGTTGGAGACTTTCTGTTGCATGGTCAGAGAAGGGAAAAGGGGCCATGTTTCCCCATAAAACCCTCCCTGTGCTAGTACCCAGACTGTGGGAAACACAGTGAGATGGGGGCCCTGGGGGTTTCAAAAGCAGAAATGGGAGCGAGCTCCCCCATCTCTGAGCCTGGGGCCTGGGCTCTGTTCTCTGTGCGGCCCTCCTGATGCCTGTCCTCTCCTTTCTTAGGCTGTCTTTCTATTCCGGACACTCCTCCTTCGGGATGTACTGCATGATGTTCTTGGCGGTGAGTCTTTTTCTCAGGATTGGCTTGTGGGACTGGCCAAGTCACTGCCTTCCCTGGTCCTCAGTTTTTCCTTCTGTAGAAGGGGTGGGTGGAGGTGGTGATGGGTTGTTGGGCTGACAGGTGTGGAGGCCCCCGGCCTTCTGGCTCCGTGTTCCTGGCCCCAGAGCTCCCATCTGTGCCCTGGGTGTGGGGTGAGCCCGGTTGGCTCCTAGGCTGATGGCCCCCCAGCTCTATGTGCAGGCGCGGCTCTGCTGGAAGTGGGCGAGGCTCCTGCGGCCCACAGTGCAGTTCTTCCTGCTGGCCTTTGCACTCTACGTTGGCTACACCCGCGTGTCTGACCACAAGCACCACTGGAGCGATGTCCTCGTTGGCCTCCTGCAGGGGGCGCTCGTGGCCATCCTCACGGTGAGCTCCCGGGGTTGACATCCTCTCCCTGGGACCCTCTTGTCCTGCCCACTCCAGTGTTCCCCCTCAGAGCCCATTCCTCACCCCACTCCCTTCCCGGGTCCCCTCCCCTGCTTCCAGCAGCTCTTGCCTTCTCTCCTAGGTTCGCTACATCTCTGACTTCTTCAAGTCCCGGCCTCCACAGCGCTGCCTGGAGGAGGAGGAGCTGGGACGGAAGCCCAGCCTGGCACTGACGCTGACCCTGGGTGAGGCTGACCGCAACCACTACGGGTACCCGGTCTCCTCCTCCTGAGGCAGGGCCCCGGGCTCTGGGTCCAGCTAGGTATGAGGCTGTGTTTATGGTCCTGGCTGGGCCCTCCCCTGGGGTGGTGATGGGGGCTCTGGATGGGCTCCAGGTGCCCCGTGCTGGCGGTTGGCCGGTGTTCCACCAACCCCACCTCTTGTGCACTGGACCCATGGCCTGGGGGTGCACAGGGCGGCCCCAGTGTTGGGAAGGGGGACCCTGTGCTCTCAGCTCCCTCAGAACCCCCTTTTGTTGGATTAGAGAGCTCCAGATAGATGCTGTTTTTGTAAAGTGTAATGTATATGTGGACTTTTAGTAAAACAGAGAGTGTTTGCTCGACACGTGGTGTCAGCCTCTGTTCTTACGGCCATTCTGAGCACGGTTCCTACAGCAGATGGGGGGACGCTTCCCTGCTGGGGGCTCAGCGGAGCTCAGGTGTCAGAGAAGCTGGTGGCGGTGTTGTCGTCTGGAGACGCAGGGAGAGTGGCCCACTCCCTCCCTGGCCTCACCCCGTGTGTGTCTTCATCTGGCTGTGGACTCGTATTGATCACACCCTTTAATAAGCTGGTAAACCTCAGTGTTCCCTGAGATGTGTGAGCCCTAGGAGAGCAGGTTGTGGGAACGTGCAGTCTAGTCAGTGGGTCAGAAGCACTGGTAACGGCCTGGGGCTGGTGGCAGTCTCGGAGGTGGGTGTGGTCTTGTAGGACTGAGTCCTTAACCGGATGCTCTCTGCGGGCAGACTGTCCGAATTGAGTTCTCAGACACTACCCCCCACCCCCCAATGTCGAAATTGGGTCTGGAAACCAAAAGAATTGTTGTTTGTGACCTGGTTAAGTGAACAAGGTGAATGAAAGTAACAGCCAGGCCCTTACGGGCTTCCTCTGGTCCTGTCAGCAAGGAGGAAGGCTGGAGGAAGCAGGCACAGCTTGGCACAGCACCCAGGGCAAGGGTCTGGCACAGCTGTACGAGGCTCCTGCTATTGTCTGGGTCCCAAGGAGGGCTAGGGTTGGGGAAACTCCGAGTTCGAGTTAGAGTGCAGAATTTGTCTCCATGGCCCTCCCTTCACAGTAGGGAGGCCTTTGCTGAAAGCCCCCCACCCTCCCCTAGTACAGGCCCCCCAATGGAAACACTTGAGCAGAAATTCAGATGGAGCTCAGAGCCTAGTCAGAGGGGCTGGAGATCTTGCTGGCAGCCTCAGGTGGCCTGCAGGGCTGCGCCCCAGGTCTGCCGCTGTGGAGCCTGAAAGGTCCCAGGTGTGGTGTGGGCCTAGGGCCGGACTTCTTATCCCCTTTCCGCTCGGGGATATTCTCCCTCCCTCCAACGGACCCTGCCCTCGGATCCTCCCATCTCAGCAGCGCCCACCTTTAACGGACGTGCCTGGGCCTCCTGGGGCTCCCAGTCTGTCTGCGTCCGGCCTTCCTGGAGGACTTGTCCTGATTCTTCCCTGCTGGTCACGCACATGGGGCTCCAGAACCAGCTCCTCTTCCTCTGTCCTCAAATGACAACTCCCCGCCATTCACAGAAGTGAACAGCAGGGAAGTAAAAAGGAGACTAACTGCTAGAAATACATACTTTTTATAAAAGAAGATGTGGGGGCGCCTGGGTGCCTCAGTCAGTTAAGTGTCTGCCTTCGGCTCAGGTCGTGATCCCAGCGAGCCCTGAGTCGGGCTCCCTGCTTGGCGGGGAGTCTGCTTCTCCCTTTCCCTCTCCCTCTGCTTGCCACTGCCCCAGCTTGTGCTCTCTCTCTCTCAAATAAATAAAATCTTAAAAAAAAAAAAAAAAAAAAAAAAGATGTGTTCAAAACCTTAGTGTAGGGGAAGCCTTTTGTAATTGGAGAAAACAGAGAAAGTGAAGTTGAGGAAAATCCGGGGTCTGGGCCAGAGCAGTGGCTCAAGAAACAGAAGGCACTGTGAGTGGTGGGTCCCTGGAGCAGGGAGACACGAGCGAGATGCCAGGCCTCTGGAGCGGGCTCTCGAGGGGCTGGCACCTTGAGACGATTGTAGAACGTACAGAGCTCCCTTTTCCAAGGACGGTGTAAATGGTGGGTTTGGTTTTTGTACTAAATATGTGTAAAACAGGTTACTTATTTTTAAGTGTTTTATTTGTCCCCAGAAGCTGTTTTATTCCATACCCCTCTCAGGGTGTTCCGGTCAGGCCTCGGCATGATGATATAGCCTGGGGGCAAAGACGCAGCCTTGCAGGCCCTTGCTGGAGACGGTCTCCCCAGCCACCACGACCTTACTCTCGGTGCTGCGGCAGGTGGGGAGGAGGGAGCCCAGATGCCGCAGAACGCCAGCATGCCGGACATCAGGAACTCGGCTTCATCACCGTGAAGCTGCTCGGGGCTGGGGGGCCTGGGCATCCCGGGACGCAGTAGAAGGCAGTGACTGAGCCCTGGCTGCACGTGAGGAGGAGGCACCCAGGCTCGGGGGGTGTGTCTGTGTCAGTGAAGGGGGCGAGGTTCCCAGCCAGACCTCACAGGGAGCCGGGGATCCGGGAGCAGGTGGGAATGACGGAGTTAGGTGCCCCTGTTAGCACCCGTGGCCGCACTCTTCCCTGGTGCGATGACCTTGAAGGCCAAGACCACAGTGATGCTTTGGACCAAAACGGTGGAAGCAGCCATGGTAGAAACCACTCTGAATGCAGTTTGACAGCCAATGAGGTGTAAGGAGCAGGAAAGCAGAAGGTGAAGGAGGTGAGCAAGACAGAGCTGAGGGTTCGGTGGTTGGCCTTGACCAGGAGAGGACTCGGTGCTCCACGGAGACCCCAGGACCACAGCCATGAGGCCAGACAAACAGAGCTGTGCTGGCCAGACCCCTCTCCAGAGTCCTCAAAAGGCATAAAGGTCACGGCCTCTGGTCACAGTAAGCTTCCTGCTTACCTTTTGAGTCACGATCGTCTGGACACTTGGCACGCTTGTCTGCATTGGTGAGAAAGCAGGGGTGAACTTTCTGGGTTCAGTGGTTCTTACCGATTAGGAAAAGTTGGGACATTTTGGTACACCAGGCAGAGATGCCGGGAAGCTCTCACGTACGGCTATCCTCCTTAAAGTTTCACGGAGAAAACAGTAGGTCTTTGTTTTCCTCTTTTTCCAAAGGGGATTTTTCTGTCGATTCTCCTTGGAAACTCCTAGGTTCTTAGCCATGGAAATATCATTTCTCATGGCTTCTTCTCAATGCGCAACATTTCCCCTACTTTCTGATGTTTTTTGAAAAACCCTTCCTAACTGAGCATTGGATGAAAAGCAGGAATTTGTTTTTGAGTTTTTTAGGTGCAAAATGCTAGTGTGGTTTTGTAGGAAAAACTGCTTCCTTTGGTATAGGTGCATACTGAAGTAATGAGGAGTGAGATTATGTGATGTCTATAACCTACAATCTTTCATGATGCAAAAATGTGAAGCAAATGTGGCAAAATTATAATACTTGTAAAGTCTCTGTGTTTGTGTTCATTATGTCACTCTATATTTTGAGAATTTTTATAATCCAAAAAAGGAAAATTCTGCCCCAGGGAATTTTCCTAAGTTAAACAGTATCCATGCATTTCTTATTTTCCAAATGATCCCTATTTAAGTTGCAACAACATAAAATCCTGATTGAAAAATAAGATTATATTAATCTTTAATATAAATTAAATACAATTAAAAATTAATGTTGGTTACCACCTGATATAAGAAGGCAGTTTTCCGGGGACGCCTGGGGGGCTCAGTCCTTAAGCGTCTGCCTTCGGCTCAGGTCATGATCCCAGGGTCCTGGGATCGAGCCCCGCATCACGCTGCCTGCTCAGTGGGGAGCCTGCTTCTCCCTCTCCCACTCCCCCTGCTTGTGTTCCCTCTCTCAAATAAGTAAATAAAATCCTAAAAAAAAAAAAAGGGGGCAGTTTTCCCCATTCATTAACCACAGGCAGTGGTGGTGACAGCCTTGTCCCCTTGTCACTCTGAACATATGTAAACAGAGGGAGAGGGAGGGAGATCGAATTGTAGAATTAAAAAACCTCTGATTTTTCAACACATTTTCAGCAGCTGGACAGCTCCTAGGGCTCCTCTATCAGCTGGTGGACTCCTGCCGTATCTGAGACAAACATGCCAGTATTTTGGTTAGCCTGATTTTTCACAGTTGTGATTTGTGGGAAGAAGCAGCCCAGTTTATACATTTAATAGCCCGATTTTGGGTGAATCCAGGACTTTGGGTGAGAATCTCCAGTTGGTAAAAGGCTGGAACGGCTGGCCATTGGTACCTGCCCTGTAAAGGTGCACAGCTCCTCTGCATCGTGTCTTCTCCCAGCTCCCAGAGGACCCGCTCACCTCGTACATTGTCGGAGACAAATAGCCACACCTCGTCCAGTCATGGTGTGGCAGCAGCAGCAGTGTTCCCGAGGCCAGAGCGGCATCCCTGGGGGCCACCTGGAAACCGACCTTTGGCACTCTGCAGAAGACCTGAGGGAACTTGGGTGACCTAAATGGGAAGGAACAAAAAAGCATGTTCCATTTTCTCTTTAGTGGAAACAATCCAGGAGGATATTTCTGTGATATCCACTTGAAAAATACACCTTCCTTTCATCTGCCATGAAAAGTGCTGTGTGTATTAAACAGCTGTATTCTCCGTAAGAAGTGAGGCCATCAGGGTTTTGTTCACGGCATGTTCCACGTTCAACGTCATGGCAAGGTCTACCTGGACGAGACTGCTAAGGAGCTATTTCTAGGAGCTGCTGAGGTTTACTGCAGCCTGTGGGGTTTTCCTTCTCCCCATCATTCCTGCCGGTGTGAAGAGCACCCCACCCCCTGAGTCCTGTGCATTCTGGTTTTCCATGGTGACGGAGGTATAAAGACACACTCTCCCAACTCTGGAGAGGAGACTTTCAGCTCTGCCCTGCCTCACCCTCATCGCCACTTGTGGGAATTTGCAGAGTTTGTCAGTGTCCCCATCTGGAAAGAAATAGCTGGAGAGGTCCCTGCACGGACACCTGGGGCTTGGAGTTGGGAATGGTCTGGCCAGGTCCTGACAGTCACATCAGGGAGCTCTCCAGTGTTTTTCAGTCCCTGCCATACGCCACGTAGATCTGATTCCCTAGGGACACATCAGGCAGGAGATAGATGTTCCTATTGGTCTCCTTTGTAAACCCCACAGCTGGGACATGCACGTAGTTTCTGAATATCCACCTGCACTGCAGGAGGAGTGTTAGGGGGGCAAACCCATCTATGCATGTGATGATTATGTCCTAGGCCACTTGCAGGGCACCATTTGGTGCTTTGTCCAAATATGGAAGGCACTAGTGACATGTGGCCCTTTAAGTTAATTTAAACTCATAAAATAA